CTCTCTCTCTCTCTCTCTCTCTCTCTCTCTCTCTCTCGGCTCTCCTCTTACCTGTCAGAGAACATCTTCTCATTCTCTTCTGCTGGATCTTCATTCATGGCATGCCTATTATCTGTGGGTGTCCTCCAAGGCTCTGTCCTGGGCCTTCTTCTCTTTTCTCTTTCTACACTCTGGCACTTGCTGATCTCACTGGCTCCCGTGGGTTCAGTTATCTGCACCATGTGTTTGATTCCCAGATCTGTATATCCGGTCCTCATCTCTTTCCTGAGCAGTATATATCCAAATCACCAACTGCCTGATTGAACTGATTGTTCTGTAGGCATCACGGCAGGTCCAATCCAGAATTCTTTATCTTTTCTTCTGAACCCTCCCCTTTCCTGAACTTCTGTATTATTATGGAGGGCACCACTATCATTCCAATTACTCAGGCCTGCAAACTCTGAGGCATCCTCCGCTCCTTTCTCTTGCTCACCCCACATATACAAATCATTTGTTAAATTTTATTATTTTATTATTCTTTCTCTACAAACTCCTCTCACATACATCCTCTTTTTTCTCCTTATAGTTCAGGCGTTCATTACTTCATACCTGGATTATTGCAATAGGCTTTTAATTAGTCCTCCTAACTCAAGTCTCTTCCCACTCCAACCCACCCTCCACTTAGCTGCCCCAGTGTTGCTTTCAGTGAGTCTACAGTAGATTGTTTTATACCCCAAATGATCTTATTCAATCACAAAAAAGTAGTTATGTTAGCCACTGCTGAGGTTGTATGTATAAGTAAGATTCTATTCCCAAGATCACACAGGTTACATGAGAGTCAGGATTCGAACTCAGTCCCTGATACTCAATTTCAAGCACCCCACTGCACCATATTATGAGAGTACTGGAGCTGGGAAGATCCTCAGAGATCACCAGATTCAACTCCTCTTATTTTAGTGTAGAAGAAAAGCAGGTTCAAAGAGACTTGTCCAAAGTCACCCAAGCAAGCTACTGGCAGAGTCAGGACTGAAACCCAAGGCTTTTGGCTCCCAATCTAGGGTTCTTCCCATTGTCCCCAAAAGCCCACGCCCCAGTACCACACCCATTCCCCTTGTCAGGAAAGGGAAGAATATTCCCTAGGACTGGGGTCTAGACTAGTCAGTCTGGAGCTAAGCTAGAGTTCACCTATCACCCCAGTCTGGGGGTAGGGAAAGACATGTGGACACAATGGGAGGGCTGAGTGGGATTAAAGAGGGGAGAAGGGCGAGGGAAACCATGGAAACTGCTACAGAAAATGTGTGTGGGAAGAGAGAGCTGGGGCTATGGCAAGGAGACCCCCATTAATAAGGGTGAGAAGTGGTAGCTTTTTATCAGGCTGTCATTTACACACTGAGCTCTCTCACTGTGTCCAGGGAGCAGCCTGTGTCTGGGCAGTGGGCCTCTGGCCAGAGCAAACTTTGCTGGGAATAGTTCCTGCTCTTTGGTCCTCTAGCCATCTCCCAGGACCACCGGATGACTTTCCAAGCTGGCTTGTGTAATGACTGATTCATTTATTCATTCAACAAACTTATTGGGCACTGGCTAGATGCTGGGATGGGAGGGTGCATCATAGGATCATAGATTTTTTTTTTTTGCTAGAAAGGGCCTCAGAGGTTGGCCATGGTAACTCAAACAAACTAAAATACAAAATGAGCCTCAATCCTGAGCAGTTTCTTTCTACAGTGACAGTGACAGAGTGGTAGAAAATGGCTAAAGGGTACCAATGATCACACCTCTTTTAGACTGTCTCTAAATATTAACTTGACTGTTGGTACTCTAAATGTGACATCATCTGGTCCAGTGACCAACAAACAGATATAATCCTGGAAGGAATGGACTGCATCAGTCTTGAACTTCTCACTATAAATAAACCCAGAAGACAAAAGGAAGTGGTGACTAAACAGAAGGGTGTCTCTTGGGCTCTTCTTGGAGAGGCCAGGGGGAAAGGAAATGAACAAATATTTATTAAGTGCCAATTATGTGCCAGGCACTGTGCTAAGTGCATTACAAATATTATCTCATTTGCCAAACATAACTGATTCTATAGAACTGGTTTTATCCTATGTCCAAAGTCAATAAGACATATTATTTCGTGGACTACTTGGCCATCTTGAATTGTAGCACTTTTCATGAGATTTTGCAAAAAGACTGCCATGAAGAAAATTGCAGTTTATTCCTAACATCACTCATGGAGGATGAAGAGGTAGAGATGTTCTACGAAGCACTTGATAAGACTCTCCAAATTAAATAAACATGTACTTTAATACTTGGTGACTTCAGGGCAAAAGTGAACAGAGGACAGGATGGCAAAAATGAGGTTGGAAAACATGGTTCAATAATAAGAAACCAGAGAAACTAAAGGCTTGTCAACTATACAGTAACCTCATGCCTATGCATCATTCAAGAAGAAAGCATGAGGCACAGGATGTGACTGGCACCAAAGAACATCACAAGACTATCTTTTAATGGATAGGATGCAACTGGTTGCCAATGTGGGAGCCATTTCTGAATCAGCTGTCTGTGCACAGTCAGATCATTGATGTGTTAGAGCAAAGATCCAAATCGCTGTCAAATGATAAGGATAAAAACAAGAAGATGTGACACACAATTGCAGTAACTCCATTTTGACCTATTTAAACAAGTTGTTAATACATACACACAAATGGGAAATGGATAAAGGAACAGTTATCAATATAAACCATTAGCATTTCCTAAGGAAACATAACCCACACAAATCAACTGTCACAATGAGACTGAAAGAAACGGCTTCAAGCAGCAAATGTTTGATTTCCTTGCCAACCAGAGAAATATGACAGTGAAGGGAAACCAGAAGAAATACAAATGGCACTAAGGAAAACAAAGATGGACTAGATCAGATATGAATAGAGGAGATCCTCGCTAAAGTCAGTATAATTAGGGAGGGCTAGAAAGAACATTGACCAGCTGAAGAATGTCCAGAGAAATGAGATTGGAATGATGAGGTGACTAGAGACCAAGGTATATGAGAATCCACTGAAGGAACTAGGGATATTTAGCATATAGAAAAATAATTAAGGGTTGTGGATATGATAGCTATCTTCAAATATTGAAAGACTATCCCATGGAAGAGGGGTTTAATTTGTTCTGCTTTGCCCTAGAGGGCAGAGCTAGGAATAAGGAGTAGAAATTGCAAAGAGGTAGATTTAAGCTTTATGGGAGAAAAACAATCTCCAAACCATTAGATCCATCCAAAAGCAGAAAGGGCCGCCTGGGAAGGTCATCAGTTCCCCATCACTGGAGGTGTTCAGGCAGAGGCTGGACAGCCATTTGTTGGGGAAGTTGTAGACAATATTCTGGCTCAGGTAGAGACTGAACTAGACCACCTCTGGGGCCTTTTCCAAATTCTACTGCCCTATGATTCATGTAATCCAACCTCCTACCCCACTGCGGGATTCAGTGAAGCTTTCAAGTGTCCCTGAAATCACATCATTTAGGTGGCCCCTACTGTGTTCCCCGCACCAGTCAGTGTTAACAGTAAGGCACCACCGGCCATGGGCTGCCTGTCTCCCACTTGGAATTTTCCATTCTTAGGTGAGGCCAGCTCACAAAAAAATGCCTCTCAATCCCTGGGGCTCCCAGGCTCCTCAAGTCAGAGCTACAGAAATAATGCTGGACTTGGAATAAGAAGATTTGGGTTCAAGTCTCAGCTCTAACATTGATCTGCTCTGCTACCAAAGGGTCACCAGTTTCTGAGCCTCAGTTTTATTCTTTATAGATGGGGTAGTTGTGAGGAAAGTGCTAGGTTATTATTGTTCTTACTGTAATGATTATTGTTGTTGTGATGTTATCATTGTCATTCCCAGGAACTTGGGGAAAGAGGCCCACGGACCCATACGGAAACAGATGGCCCAGCCAGGGTCCCTCAGAGGAAGACAGAGAGAGGCTGGGGAGGTGAGGCATAGACCTGCTGGAGACTGAGCTGTTACTCACCCACCAGGCTGGCTGAGTCAGAGTCACCCAGGTGGTGATGGGCTGGAAACCCAGACACACAACTGAGGTGGGGGTGAGGGAGCAAGAGCTGAGTGAGGGGAAAAAAGGAGAAGGGATTAAGGAACCCTCACCCAAGCTGCAGTCCCTGTTCTCTCCCCCCTTTTGACTCAGGCTCCACCAAAACAGACAGGAATATGAACATAGCCACATGACAGTTTCTGGTTGGGGAAGGGAGAGCCCCACGCTGTCCCTAGCCTGAGTGGGAGTCTGGAAAGGAAAAGGATGGATGCTGGCTAACTGGCTGAGACAGGTCTTGTTCAAGTAAGAGATTCCCTGGGGAAGATAAGGGCATGCCTCGGGCCTGGGTAACCCTGATCCTGAAAGAAGCATCCTGGGCTTTCTCCTTTCTTGTCCTAGATTTATGGGCCCAGGCCTGTGGGACCTCATGTGGGGACCTCACTCAGGGTCAGCCAGGAAGAGCCAGCAGTGATGGTGGCTCCCATCTGAAGAAAGTCTATTCAGTTCTAGAGGGCAAAGATCACTGCAACAGAAAGAAGGTGAGATTTGAAATCAGAGAACCCGCCTTCAAATCCTGGCTCTGCCACTTACTACTTACAGAGCTCAGTCTAATGCCTGGAACATAGTAGGTGCTTAATATATGTTTATTATTGACTATTTATGTGACCTGGAGCAAATCACTTCCCCGCTCTGGCTCTCAGTTTTCTCATCCACATGATGGAGAGAACAAACTAGTTGATGTCTAGTTCTTTCTCGATCGATGATCCCACGAACCCCAACGAGAATGCGACATCGACACTGATAAGTCAATAACCACTGATGTTTGTCTCCCAGGCAGCAAGTTCCCCTCCACGGGACACACTCAGAAACTGGTTTATACCACCTTCTCCCAGCTCAGACATTCTCTCAAAAGCCCCAGAAAGGGTGCTAGCAGCCATGGAGGTGGAAAAGAAAGCCAACACAGATAATCCACAAAGTGGATAATTGAGAGGTAATTGTAAAGAAGTCCATTATTATTATCATTTTATCCACTTTTACAGATGAGCAAAATGGGTCCCAGTTTTTGGCATCTCATCATAAAAATGACATTTCTTTGAAAGATCATAAAACATTTTTCCAATGGACAAATCTTGTTTTTAACACAGTGAACATAAACTCTCAAAGTCCAAAGTATATCCCCCCAAAAAACATTCAAGCAAGGCAACACAAAAGAGTGATGATGACTTTGCAAGCTTGCTCCTGAACGCTTTTGTGATTTAAAGGCCACGTCATCGGCTTTAAGAAGGGTGAGCCAAGGCTGTCCATTGGGCTTGGTTGCCATTTGAGGTTTTCTTCCTCTACCTGATAGTAATCAACATGGCTTGTTCTTTCGGCTCCACTTCCTTCTCTCTGCATCATTTCATGCAAGCCTCCCCACATTTCTAGGAATTCTTGCTATCAATGTTCCTTGTGGAACAGTAATGTTCCATTACATTCACGTACCATAACTTGTCCCTCCATTCTCCAACCACTGGGCACACAGTTTGATTCCAATTTTCCATTGTTACAAAAGGTGCTAGGCATATTTTTATACAGATAAGTCTTTTCTTCTTGTCCATCCAGTTGGTGGGGACAGGAACCTAGTGGTAGGCTCATGGGGTGTGAACAATTTTGTAATTTTTCTTGTATAATTCCATATTTTTTTCCCAACTAAGCAGACCAGTTCCTAGAAATTTAATATTTTGAAACAAATTGAACATTACTATTTTATTGGATTAATTTTTTTAAATTAAGCAGATGATTTTCAACAGTTGGCTGTATTTTTCAGTGCAATTTTTATTTCTCTTGGAGCCAACATTTTCCCCAAATAAACTCAATTAGACTTTAGTCTCTAATTAGATGATGAAAACCAGGTAGAGAGTTGGGTTTAGTATAGAGAAATTCACATTCCAAGCAACTTTTGGGGGCCACGACAGCTCTGTAGCATAAAGGGTAACTGTCTAGAGAGCAAAGAAGATGTGGAAATGGAGGGAGACGGAAGACAAGGAATCCTGGGCTCCTTCAGACTCCCCTTCACAGTGAGCCGTGGCTCCTCCTCAGATCTGTGGCTCTGCAGGAAAAGAGCTGTTTTTCCCCTTATCTTTCTTCCTCCCCTCTGGGCCCACAGCTCAGACCAAAGAGGAGGCTTACTCAACCTGTGCTCATTTCCATGTGTCTCTACAGTGGCCTGGGCCTGAAGAAAGCTTTTGTCTGGGCTCTGGGGAGGAGAGGCAGCTGAACCCCTGGGGAGGACGTGCTTGGAGGAAATTCCCACTTGTCCCGACCCGGCCCTCATTTTCTGAGCAGCTAGGCTTTGAAGGAGCGACTGGAGGGAGGGAGAGGAGCAGTAAGGCTCACTCCTTTCCTGAGATTTTGGGAAGAAGGGCCCTGGACACCCAGTCAGTTACACAATACTTAGCGTCAGGGAATTACCAAACACAAAACATTGGAGCTGGAAGGGACCCTCGAACACAGAACGTTGGAGTTGGGATCATCTATCATTGGAGGCCCCTGGGTCCAAATCGAAGCTCTACTACTTAATAAGAATTTATAATAACAGCTAGCATTTATATCTGTGCTTAAAGGCTTGTAAAATGTTACGTTGTCTCATGTAATCCTGGGAGGTGGGTCCTATTATTATTCCCATTTTATAGATGACAAAACTGAGGCTGAGGGGGAAAAAAATGATGCCAGTGGCTTGCTCAGGGTCACACAAGTTAGGATCTGAACTCAGGCCTTCCTGAACCCGAAGTCTAGCTCTCTAATGCTACTGAGCTACTTTGGACAAGACACTTCACTTTTCTAGGTCTCAGTTTCCTTATTTGTAAGATAGGCCGGTTGGACTAGGTGATCCCTTGGGGTGCTTTCTGCTGTATACCCTATGATTCTGTGAATAGTCAGAAAGGACATATCCATCACAAGCCATGCTCCTTGGCTCCCCTCCCCAGCAAAATGACACTACTCCTTGGTACTCTAGGAGAAAAATATCTGTGCCTGGGAGCCAGGAGCACCCTGGGAAATTCTAGGAGACTCCTGGAGAGTGAAGGAGTCTTCTGCGTATGGGAACAGGAGGTAGAGACCTTTGGGGTGAGCTGTCATCACTTCCTTATCTCTGCACAGGGCTCCTTGCTTTGGCTGGCCCTGCCAGGAGGCAGGCTGCAGGGAAGGCACTGGGCCTTTGAAGATAAAGGCTACAGGACGGGTAAATATTATCCTTGTGAGCTAATCCGGGAGAAGCTCATCACAGGAAGGCAGTAACCACAACTCTCACAATGCTGATGCCCGGCTATCATCAGGGGATGTTGCTCAAGGCCAGACCAAGGCCCAGCTTTATCTACAGGAAGGCCTGCTTGGCAGTTCTCATGTCTCCATTATCTCCGGAGAATTCTGTCAGTCAACACAAACCACCTTTTTCACCCCTGAGGGACGGCGCAGGCCTTTGAGTCCAGAGCAGTCTGCTCCCCAGGAGCCCTGGGAGGCTGAGAGAGGAAACAAGAAGAAAGATAATAGTTTAGTGCTTGTATGTCACTTTACCTGTACTATCTCACAACAGTCTGCTGTGAGGCGGGTGCTATAATTATTTCCATTCTACTCATGAAGAAACGGGAGGAGAGAGATTAAACGATTTACCCAGGTCCACACAGCTGGTAAGTGTCTGAGGTGGATGCAGACAGTCAGAACAGGGAGCTGGGAACGGTGGGTGCTCGGGCCCCAGACCCGGCCCTCCTTCATGCTCATGTGGGTGCAGGCTCATGCTTCTTCCTTCCCAGGGGCAGCAGAAGACATCCTACCCTGGCCCTAGGAGCACGACCGTGGGTTCTGTACCCCTGGCAGGGGAGGAGGGACTGCTGTCACACGCAGCCCTGTCTCAGCTTTGTGGGATCCAGACAATGACCCGGATGAGGCAGCCTCAGCTGAGCAAGCCTCTCGGGAGGTGCAAAGTGCCCTGGGAAATGCTCAGAATTTCTAGGTTGCTAATTGCTAATAACTGAAGTGGGAAATAGGGCTGCCTGAGTCACGAGGCCAGGTCCTCGTGTCGGTGATGCTTTTCAGTCACAAAAGCGCAACAGGGTCATTAAATTAAATAGTACCACACACACACACACACACACACACACACACACACACACACACACACACACTCTTACACTAACACCCCAGGTGAAGAGGGGTACCTCTATTAGGTCTCCTTTCCTCCAGTAGGGAGAGAAAAGAAGGGAGGAAGGGAAGGTAAAGACTCACCTTGGGAGTATCAGGGAATAATAAAAATAATTTTAAAATAATAATAATAATAATTAACATTTATATAGCACTTACCATGTGCCATGCACTATGCTAAGAGCTTTATCATTATTACCTCATTTGATCCTCATAACAACCTTGGGAGGCAGGTACTATTATTATGCCCATTTTGTAGAGGAGAAAACTAAGGCTGAAGGTTAAGTGACTTGCTCAAGGTCACACAGCTAGTCTGAGGCAGAATTTGAACTCAAGTCTTCAGGATTTGGGCAGCTAGGTGGTGCAGTAGATGGAGCGCTGGGCCTGCAGTCAGGAATACTCCTCTTCCTGAGTTCAAATCTAGCTTCAGACACTTATTAGCTGTGTGACCCTGGGCAAGTCACTTCACCCCATTGGCCTCAGTTTCCTCATCTGTAAAATGAACTGGAGAAGGAAATGGCAAACCACTCCAGAATCTCTGCCACGAAAACCCCAGCTGGGGTCAGAAAGAGGTGGACGTGACTGAAAGGACTGAACAGCAGCTTCTGGACTTGAGTTTAGGATGGGGGAAGGGCTGAGCTGGTGAGTGGGGTGACCCTGCCTTGGAGGGCCCAGCCACAACCTTTCTGTTCAGAAGCCCCCAGTCCTCAAAGCCTCAGTCACACAGCCCACCTGCCCTGCTGCACTCGAGTCGGAACTGCCTTCCCTCCTCCTCCGATGGCCCCAAACTACCCATTTAAGGGCTCAGTTTGTCTTTTTGTAGCTTGCACCCTGGCTTCCGGTGCTGCCCTCTTGGATGTTGTTTTACAGATAAGGAAGCTGAGGCCCAGGGAAGGACAAGGATCTGCCTAACTCACAGAGCAGGTCCTAGCAGCAGAATTAGGTCTAGAGCCCAAGCTGCTGCTTTCTAAGTCTGGGCTCCTACTGCCCTGACCCCAGGGAGGGGCCCCCCCCTCGACATCCCCTTGCATAGCTATTCACACCCTGTTAGAGATCTGTTTCCTCTCTGTGAGTCATTCCCCTTCTCCCCCTCCCAGTTCCCCTCCCCCCTTCCCCCTCTGGTTTGGACGAGGAGCTAGCTCTCAGAAGCAGGGAGCTTCGTCTTCTGCCTCCCCCCACAGGCTCCCAGAGCACAAAGAAGGTCTCAAAAAAACCTTGGGAGGGGTGTCTGTGGAGGGGGGAGGGGTGGCACTGTATAGACTTAGAGACCAGATCACAGACTTATAGAACCACATGTCAGCAATAAAAGCTCACAGCCACTACTTTATGGAATTCCCCGCTCAGGAATGGGAGTGGGGGAAGAGGAGGTTGGGAATGGGGCTGGGAGGGAGAGGAGAGGCCTATAGAGGGTTTGGACCCTGGCTCCTAGGAGAACTTGGGACCGAGGTCAACTCTCAGATCAGCATCAGGAAAATAGGGTGGGAGTGAGGGAAGAAAAAAGAAAACCCACTTCTTGTGATCACCACCTAAGCAATCCTGGACTGCTCACTCTCCTGTAGAATGAGAGGCTTGGACTTGATTGGCCTCTGAGGCTCCCTCCAGCTCTGGGAAGAACCACAACCGGGCCCTCCCTCCGGGTCTTTGCTGACCACAGCGTCCAGAGCTGGAGCATCCAGAGCCAGAGCCCCCGGGCAGCTCCTCTGCATGGGAATTTCTCTGCCTGTGTGATTGGGGTTCCCATGAGTTCCTTGAGGTCTAGACGTTACAGAGGCTCACCGCCTCTCTTCTCCTACTTTTCCCTTCCTTTGTTTCCTCCCTCTCCCTTGGTCTCTCTTCCTCCTCTGCCTCTGTCTCTCTTTCCCTGTGTCTCTGTCTCTGTCCCTCTCCCCTTTCCCTGTGTCTCCTCCATTTTCTCTCTCTTCTTTTCCCTTTCCATAACCTTCGTCCTGCCTCTCCCTTCCCTCTCTTTCTTCTTTTTCTATCTATATATGTCTTTGGTTTCATTCTCCTTTCTCCCCTTTTCCTCTTTTCTCTCTCCCTCTTCTTTCTTCCCACATGTTCTCCCTTCTCTTTCCCAGGCCGATGCAACAATGGGCCTGATACTTTTCCTTACCTGCTGACCACTCAGTTGGACTAAAGCCTACAGCTCCTCTCAGACAAGTGAGAACTGAAGGGAATGTCATTAGATAGGTAGATCAGAGGAACACATGAGAAACGCCATGTAATAGCTGACTGAACCCTAGAAATGGAATTAGGAAGAGTTGAGCTAAAATACTATCCCTGCTACTGGCAGAGGCTGAGGCTGGTGATCGATTGGGCTCAGGAGCTCTGAGCTGCAGTATGGCTAAAACCGACTGGCCATCGGCTATAGGTTCAGGCTTGATATAATTAGTCCCTGGTAGTGGAGGGCCAACAGGTTGCCTAAAGAGGGCAAACTAGGGCAGGAAAAATGGATGAAATACCAATAAGCATTTTGATCAGTGCTACGATTGGCTGCTGACACTTCCAGCCTGAGCTAGCTGGGAGAACTAGTTAAAAAAAAAATCCCATCCCTGACATTTACCAACTGTGTGCCTGTGGGAAAGTCACTTAAGTACTTTTTGCCTCGGTTTCCTCATTTGTCAAATTGAGATAATAACTGAAGTACCTCCCCCAGGGATTGTTGTGAAGCACAATATAAGAAGACATAAGTAATGCATGTTGCAAATACTTGGAGTCCTATTTAATATATATCATATATACTATCTATACATATATATTTTACCTATTATTATAGTTTCAGCAAAGCATTTGACAGTGTGGTCCTTGTGGATGCAAAGAAGAGATGTGGGCTAATTGACAGCACATTTGGATCCAAAGAGTACTTGAACTTCCGGATTTGAATATTGGCTCTACATAACCTTGATCAAGTGATTCAACCCTTGTGGATCTCAGTTTCCTCATGCAAAATGAAGAGGTTGGACCAAACGACTTGTAAGACTCTTCTAATTCTTTTTTTTGTTTGCTTGCTTGTTTTTTGGTTTTTGCAAGGCAACTGGGGTTAAGCGACTTGCCCAGGGTCACACAGTGAGTGTCATGTATCTGAGGCTGGATTTGAACTCAGGGCCTCTTGACTCCAGGGCCGGACCCTTCTAACTCTTGATCTGGGCTCCTGTGAACTTGGAGAGAAGTCTCTAGCTGTGGAGTGCCCCAGGGATCTTTTCTTGAGTGGAAGCATTGTCGACCTACTTAGCAAATTTGTTGGTGACTAAGCTGAGAGACATGGCTAACACACTGAATGATCCAGTCAGAATCCAGAGATATCCCAACAGGTTAGAGTGATGGATCAAACTAATAAGATTAACTTTAACAGAGGAAAAATATGAAATCCTACGTTTGCATTGGGAGCTAGATGGCACAGTGGATAGAGGACCCAGGTTGGAGTCAGAAGACCTCAGTTCAAATCTGGCCTGAGACCCCTGGGAAAGTCATTTAACCCTGTTTGCCTCAATTTCCTCATCTGTAAAATGAGTTAAAGAAGGAAATGGCAAACAACTCCAGTGTTTCTGCCAAGAAAACCCCAAATCGGGGTCACAAAAAGTTGGACATGACTGACTGAATGCTCGAGTTAAAAAAAAAAACACAACTGTAGAAATTTAGAATGGACAAGGCCCAGCTAACCAGTGGTCCATAATAAAAGATCTGGGGTTATTTTTCAGTGAACCCCAAGCTTCATGTAAGTCAACCATGTAACTTGGCTGCCAGAAAAAGCTAGTGTGATCTTGGGCGCATTGAGCGCAGAAGGTTTAGAGCATCCAAGGTGATGGATGGTCACACTGCTCCCTTCCCTGCTCTCACCTCACCTGGAGGATTGCGTTCCGTTCTGGGAACGATATTTTAGGAAGAACACTGACAGGCCGGAGTGTGCCCAGGGAAGGATGGCTAGGATGGTGAAGGGTACCTGAGACCGTGCCATGTGATCGTGGGCTGAAAGAATTGGGGAATGTTCATCCTGGAGAAGAAAAAAAGGAGGGAGGGCACGATGGGAGTGTTTGAAGGGCTGCAGCTTAGAAAAGAGAGTAGTAGCCTTTTTCTGCCTGGGTGTGTGTGTGTGTGTCTGTGTCTGTGTCTGTGTTTCCAGCAGTAATGGGGGCCAGTTCCAGAGCGGCTGATTTGGGCTCTTTGTAACAATTACCACTGACCTCGGGGGAATGGGCTGCTTTGGGAGGGAGGGAGTTAGCTCTCCATTACTTGAGGCCTTCCAGCAGGGCCTAAATGGTCAACCTTGCCTCGTTTGTTGTGCTGGTATGAGTCACTCTCCTGATGGCCTCTGGGAGCCCTCTCAGGTTAGAGTCTGACTCTGAGGGATGGGTACCAGGGGACAATCGTGGCTGAAGCTGCAGAGGAGGAGCACAGACAGGAAGCACTGGCTCCTGCCAGGATCTGGAGTAGGGACCTTGTTAGGGCCGTGATCATCCTTGACATCTCTGCTGCCCTTTCTGGTTCCCAAAGCCTTCTCCCAACATAAGTTTCATTTGGCCCTCACCTCCGGGAGTCCCACAGAACAGAAATCCTCCTTATCTGACTTAAGAGAAAACTGATGGTCAGAGGGGGAAAGGGACTTGTCCAAGGGGACACACATAGCAAGGGGACTGTGGTTCTTAAACGGTTTTAGGCAGTGTGTTATAGCAAAAACAGCCCAAGGTTTGAAGCCAGGAGATGTGGGATGGAGCCCGGGCTCTGCCAATTGACCTAGATATTCAGCATGGAAAAAAAGGAAGACACCTTAGAAATCACCTAGTCCAACTCCATCACCTTACCGGGAGGTGACCCTGGACAAGTTGTTCATTCCTCTGAGCCTCAGTTTACTCATCTGTAAAGTGGGATAATGATACTTATACTCTACCTTACCAAGATTTTGTAAGGAAAGTGGTTTAGTAAACCTGAATCTATCATAGAGATGAGCTGCTACTATTATTACTCCAGTGATGAGGACCTCATTGTTGTTTGACTTCATTCTCCAGTGATGAAGACCTCATTACCTCCCAAGGCAATGAATTCTAGCATTGAACAGATCTAATTGGTGACAAGTTCTTTCTTACATGGGACCCAAATCTGTCTCCCTCTAACCTGCATCCACTGACTCCAGTTCTGACTTTTGGGACTACCCAAGTCCACAGATTCCCAGTGTCCTATCTGGGCCTTTCTCTCCTTACTCTCCTTGGTCCAGTGTTTTGGGTTATATTAACCGAGCCTCTTTAGACAAATCCTTTTCCTCTCTGCGACTCACTTTCTCCATATGTAAAGTGATGAAGTCTTTTTTAGCTCCAGAGTCTTCCCGTCTCTTCCAACTGTTGGCTGCCCCTCCCCTGGGTTGGTGGGGGGAGGGACCCCTGATACAGCCCTGGGTGGGGTGGGGGGAGCGGAGACAGGCATCAGGACTGTCAGATAAGATCCAGCTCATCTGCTCTCCCCTCCCACCCTGGGCTTGGAGATGGAGCTCCCCAAAGTCTCTCCGCCCGCAATCACCTTTCCCAGAAAAAGGGGTGGGGTTGGACAGGGTTGGACCTGAGAGGCCACTTTCACTCAGGTGTGGTCCCTGGTCTGTCCTCAGGGTGGGTCAGAGGTGTGCTGAGGTGGAAGGGGCTGGCTCTTCAGTCAAATCACTGGGGTCCCAACCCCAGCTCTGCTGTTTAGTGCCTGTGTGACCTTGGGCAAATAACTTAGGTCTCTGGGACTCAGCTTCCTCATATGTAAAATACAAGGGTTAAACTCCGTGACCTCTAAGGTCCTTTCTATCTCTATATCTTTGAGAGTAGGGCCACCTTCCCTCGGGCTGAGATGGAGGCATTGGAAACAGCCCAAGGTGGGAGTGAGGTGAATGATGCTGTCTTCCTGCTCCTTTCTTCTAATGTTCTGTGCGACCTTAGGAAAATCACTTAGTCTCTCTGGGCCCTAGTTCTCGAAGATGACTCCTAGAAGAGGAAAGGCCAAGGTCAAATTTAGGGCAGGGGACAGGTTTCAATGACCATGGGATGTGTTTGAAAGATGAACTTGGCTCTTTTCAGATCCAGAGAACTGGAGACCAACCCTATCCCTCCTCCAACTCTGGGGAGGAGCCCTAGAGGGGATTCAGGGATTTCCAGGATGCTGGGATGGGCTTTCAGCATCTGTAGGTGGGGAAAGCCCTTTTAAGGCCTTCAACACCCAGGGATCTGCCCCATGAGTCACATATGTCTCCCCCAACACCTGCTGGGACGTAAGGGCCACTCCACCAGGCTGTCTGTTTGTCGGTCTGTTGATGCCTCCCTGTCTACCATCCCCATGGCCCTGTTTGTCAAGAATCCTCCTCTCCTGGACTGCCAAGGTTGTGACAAAGAAACAATGCTGGGAAACAGGCGAGCCCCAGTTTGGGGATGTCTGCATCATTCACAGAAGGCCTGAGGCATCCTGCTTCACTCAGTCTTATCATCAGGTGTCAACCCAAGTGACCCTAGATAGACAGAGGCCTGGGAATGAGGGCACAGGGGGTGGGGTAGAGGGTGGGGTGGGTTGGGGGTGTAGAGGAACAGGCAGTAACAGCCGCAGTGTCGCTCACAAATGAACCTAGACAGCTAGCATCCAGTCACCTTCCCATGCCCCTTCCAGTCCTCTGCCCCTCTTCAGTCAACTCCACCTCCCCCAGGGTCACTGATACTCTCATCTGGTCCTTTGCTCACGCATTCAAAAGAGCTGCCCGGGCTCAGGACTCATTCTGGGGCTGGGGTTAGGCTATATCTGTCCAGATTAGGGCTCAGTTTAATATAGAGAACAGTTAACCCTTCCATACCTGGATCAGACCCATAATCATAGGACACGCTAACACTGTGCCACTGCCACTTAGGCTGCACTGGAGATGCATGGGAAGACACCTCAAACAGAGGATGTCTCTAATAAAGATTTAGTGGAAGGGGGAGAGGAGGGTTTCGCTTGTTTGGGAAATGGGTGACAAGTCTCTGGGTTTGCCACTCAGGCTGTTTACTATACCAGGTCACCGTGGAAATGAAGATTAGTACAGACCATTTAAGTAGCTCAGTTATGTGCCTCTGACTGAGAATCTCATCAGTTCAGGTTCAGCCTTCTGTAAGGACACTGTATCTCCTTTTCTCATACTCCTCCAAGGCTCTGGCCCAGAGCAAAGGGTACTGTGGACTCAAAAAATACTTATGGTTGAATGACTCATTGAACTCATGAACCAATAAAAGATCCCATGAATGAATGTATGAACCAATGAATGTACCAATGCCTGAATCAACTAAAGAATGAATGAATGAACAAATGAATGAGTGAATGAATTGACCAATGAAAGAATGAATGAACCAACAAATGAATGATCTAATGAACAAATTAATGAAGGAATGAACCAGTGAATAGATGAAATAGTAAATGAATAAATGAGCTAATAAATGAATGAATAAGCCAATGGATGGGTGAATGAACTAATGACCAAATGCATGAATGTATATTTTTAGTGGAGGTGGAGGCTACAGCAAGCTTTTATTTTAGTCATCCAGTCTTAACCCCCCTGCTACAACATGGAATGGAATCAAGATGGCCTGAGGACTGAAGACTGGCTTAGCCTCAACCCTCCCCAGTCTTGGGGAGGACCACACCAGCTGAGGGTCCAGCAGTGGACAAGTGGTGGGGCTTTTCTTCAGGCAGCAGTGACTCTGCAAGGCTGCCTGAGCCATCAGGGTGTCATCAGCGGGGAAGCAGGATTATCTGAGTAGCCCTTTGGTACCTGAGGCCAGAGGTTGCCCCATCCCAGCAGGGAAGCCCTGGTTTGACCAATAAGGCTACTTACTGAGGAAAGGCGGGGCCTTACTCCCCATGCCTCACCCACGACCCAGAGCAGGTTCCTGGCCTGAGCCCAGCTGACGTCATGGGAGGTAACCAAGCCCAGAAGCCAGGGGCACAGGAGATTTGGCTCTGGTCACTGTGGGTCAGGATGGTTA